ATACAATGGATGGAAGCATATTGATAAAACCTACGTTTATTCCTTTTGCAATCGCAACAGACTTTATTACACTCGAGTTTCAAAAGACTCTTTATCGTTTGGGTGTTCTGCGCAATACGCTCAGCCTGAGGATTTGCTGGCCTGCGCGACATCCTGGCGAAATTAAATTAAGTGAAGTGTAATGAAAATGAAATTGAGTATTCCCTTTGGCGAAGAATTTCGATTACAATGATTGTATGTAGTGATTTGGAAGATTATGTTGCGTGTCCTAAGGAATTGAATGAAATGTTTCTGAAAGGAGCTTTCTTGATTCCACACACAAAGCGCAGCACAGGCCTGAACAGCTCGCTCGGCCTTGCGTCCCCACTCAACAAAGTCATTATATATAAGCTTACCGAGAGAGGCCCAAGATTGGTACGGGTTGGGAATGATTTGGGCAATCGGACAATTGAATAATTGGATCGTAATATACGGAGTGTTACGGTTAAGTTATAGGTATATAATTATTATATTATTAATTTGGTTCACTTTGGGTGAGATTATCATGCCGTCGGAAGGACTGATTTATAGAAGCAGTCGTACCTAGCTAGAGAGACCTAGTGATACACATCTAGATGTGAAATACGATTCTTGAATCATGGCTACTGTAGTAATCTATATGGTAGACTTGACACTTTCCCGCACTATACTCGACCTTTTGAATGTCTATCTATCTACCTATCCATCCATCCATCCATCCATCCATCCATCATCCATCTGGGTATGCAGAGTGATCGTTGGTCTATCATCTTAGAAGCATCTAGCGGGAGGAGGAGGATGAGGAGGGGGGGGGGCTAAAAATCCTGTTATTATTGACAGATCGATCACTTCCAGGTTGTTGATGCCTCTATCAGCTCGATCTTCTATTGTCTTAGTTCACCGTGGGGAAATGGTCTGGAAAGATTTTTCACACCAAAGTTAATAGTAATAGATTTTCATCAAAATTTCTGTTAGACTGAAGTTTGTTGATGCATTGTTGAAAGACATCTTTGAAGGGGATTTCAAAAATGACTGTAATGTAAAACTTGACCGTCTGTAACTTTGATATTCAACATCACATTGACGACAAAGCTTGATAAACACCCTACCTAGTTATAACGTCTAGACCTCAAAATGTTTCCTCCATGTCTGGTTCTGGAGGTTGATTTCTGTTATAATATTCCCATTCCCTCCATTCACCCGATCGCACCGAAGATCGAATTATCGACTAGTATGTAATATTAGTGGCTCTAGATTCTCTCACGTCTCTTCTTAAACCTGACTAAATCTGACAATGATTCAGTGTACATCACTATCTTCATATCACATCACATCGCGTATCATGAAGATCAAGTCTTGATTCCAACAATTCCAACATAACATCTGATGAGAATCAACCTCTTCACCCCTACAATGATCCGGTATTGCTTCCCGTGCATGTATGTGAAGTCAACACCAAAAGATGGTTCCATACTGGTTCCTTACGCATGGCTTGAGCTGAAGTCAAAGTGTGCAGGTTGGACATAAGCCCAGTCCGCTAGAAATGTTGTTTCCACATTACCAAAATAGTAGTTTCTTCATTAACCTCATAACCTCATAACCTTATCAACAAATCCATTATCCTCTAGAGATTTCTAAAGATTTCGGCATGCATGATGCAATCAATCCATAAGCCCCAATTACAATCCTTGCGAGACTACGGCCGACCATGAAATGTCTCGGTGATGGTTCTTCGCTAAGAATCCGTCATGGTGGCGTTTAACCCCGCGGGCGTACAAAGCAATGATTCCACATAAGACTGAGCTCCCCCTGCCCTTTACGTTCTTGTCCAATTTGCCATACCTCAATATCAAATATATCCTCAAAAGTATTATAAATATCCTTCATGCGTATCCCCACGTTCCCAACTCTCGTCCGTACCTTCTATACAATCAGCAATTATACCCTTTCTCGCCTCCCAGCAACACAATACAAAGCCCTTCAACCCATCACTCGAGGAACTGTCCTGAGATCAATGCCAACTATCCCATTTCTCTCATCCTTCTTTGGTACTTCAAGCTCTCAGCAAATGTCTTATCCAGTGCAAAAGACGGATGAAGAATGGCAAGCTGTTCTTTCAAAAGGTAAAGTATCCCTTCTCGCCCTTTGCCACCCACATAGTCTGCCCCGCCTCCCTCCTGCCATTCCCTTCTTCCTTAATTGATCCACAAACTCCATCTAACACTCCCCAGAACAATTCCGAGTCCTCCGTAAACAAGGCACCGAAGCTCCCTATGTCGGCAAATACGACAAGCACATGCCCGACTCTGGCGTCTACACTTGCGCCGGCTGCGACGCCCCTCTATACAAAGCTTCACACAAATTCAAGTCTGGATGTGGATGGCCCGCCTATTTTGACAATATCCCTGGCGCCGTAACAAGACATACAGATAGTACTTTGGGTATGGAGCGAACTGAAATTGTATGTTCGAATTGCGGAGGCCACTTGGGACATGTGTTTAAAGGTGAAGGCTATAAGACACCGACGGATGAGAGACACTGTGTCAATAGCGTGAGCATGAAGTTTGCCCCAGAAGACAAGATCGTGGATGACGCGAAGAATACCGGGGAGAGCAAAGTTTAATATGCAAGTGTTGTATGATACCCGGGAGAGACGATAGTGGAGCGACGAAGTCGATAGGGAAGGAACTGTATGATACCGATGCGAGAGATGAATAATGAATTAGCAAGCGCTACCTGTATTGATAGTTAGTGGTCCAGTCCTTAGAGACAGAAACAAATATCCTACAGAATGAATACCATTCTGCTATACATTTACCTGGTTCGCTGCCGGTTATCTTAGTTGATGCCGGCTTGTCTTGCTCTTGCATGCTTGCTGTTCCTTCACTGTTTGTTTTGAGTAGTATGATTTATAGATCGTTCATTACGCACCAACTGTATTTCTTTGGTTTCCCCTCCATGGATTCATTTTGTACACCACACTTGTTTTCATCTTCAACCAGGTTACAGCTTATCCGGACCCATTATCTTCATGTCGCCTCCCATACTATCCCGGCTCACCTTGTATCCCGGCTAACAATAAATCCATACGTACTTAGCATACATCACCGGGCGTCATCACGATCCTATATCGTCAGCTTACTTGGGTAACAATCACCATACCGTTTAAACGATTTCAATACTTCGATCACTCTTCTATTCACCTCATACATTTATTTTCACTACACAAGGTTCCGCCACCTAATATTGAAGTATTCTCATTGCTATATTTCCAAATACATAAACGTCCATCGACAAAGGAAAATGGAAAGATCTGTTAAAAGCCCTCCTCGCTCGATAGATCTTGTAAAGCATCAAATTTTAACCTCTTCCACATTCTAACTTGATTATCTCTCTTTCAAGGCTCCTCCTCCCTCTAAATCCTTCCAATTATTTCCAACATATAATCGATGATATATAAAAGAAATCGTAGGACGGTTGATCCTTTTTTCACGTCGGCGTCCTCTGAGAAGAGCTCTATTCTAACTTCTATGATGATGATTTCCAAATTATATCTCTTATATATTCAATAAATCGCCGTTTCGAAACAAATTGTTAATTTCCAAAGAAAAGTAGAGTGTGGCTATTGGGCGGATTAAGTGATACCAACATCGTTCTATATCCTGAACCTGAAAGGCGCAACACTTTAGTCTGTGTCCAGTCTTTTTTTTTTTTTTTTTTTTTTTTACATCGAGAACATCAGGCGCTCAAATCAGACCTTAGTCGCTTTTTTCGTTTTTCTCTCTCAATGGTGGAAGGAAACTCTGAACGTTTCTTCGGATATTCGGGCGTATGAAAAGAAAGCGTTACTGAGCATCTTATCTGTCTTGTTGTTATGGGTAGGAGTAATGCTCCATCCGTCAACATTTCGATGGATGTGATATTCCCAGAGATAATTTGAGTTAGAGTCGTGGCGAATCGTCATAAGGTAGACAATGTTAGAACAAAAGCTGCTTTTAGAATCAAGGAGCTTTTAATAATCGCCCCATTTCGGAAAAGGCGTTGAGAATTCGTACTTTGGCTGGCTGATTATTCGATATATCCTTTTTGTATCACGATACCCAAAACTCATCGGTTGATAATCTTGAAAAAACCCTGAGTTTGTAGCCACAGAGAATCCGCTGTGCCAATGCTATGGCTGGGAAATGAACCCAAGAAGCCATGCTGAGATCCTCCTTTAAGGTAGCCAAAATTTGAAAGTCTTTGTCGAGCATCGGTTTTGGTACTTAGCAACTTCGAATATTGATGTCCGAAGAGACTACCCAAAATCTAGATTGTATTTCACAGCCGGTCTTTGACAATGGTTCGCCCTGGGCTACCATTTGAATTCAAAATTTTCGGGAATCGAACGTAATCAAAGAATGAGTCCCTTCAAGCTTGGACTTCACTATATGTATCGGATCGGCTTCAGGCAGATTCGATTTCGAATAACAAAGATTGAAACCATGCTTCAGATATATGCGTAAGATATTGGGGTGTGAGTTTGCGTTCATGTACTCGATATTATTCGGATATATTCGAGGGATAGGAGGTGGAAGTGTGTGTTATGCGATAATAGTCGTAGTATATGTCTTTCTGATACATTTGCTGTTCTGTTCGATTTGGAGAGACGATATACAAAAAACGCGATGGAAGAAATCTTGATCCTGAAAGATTCTTTAAATGATGGAAAAAGTCCTGGAAAGATACATTCCAGTGTATCTGCGAAAACGAATCCACGACATCTGGACGAAAGAGATAGAGAAGCCTCATTAGGTGCAGACTCGACTTGGCTTCATATACAATCGATGTTGATGGGATGCCGTCCAGATCATTTCTGGGATATAAGAAGTGAGTGTTGTATCAAGAAAATCCTGGAAATTTTTCGGCCCCTGGCTAAGTCGTTGCCTTTCCGCAAAATGGAGGACCTCTTGTTGCTCATACCCGTTACCAATCTCATCTTATTAGATCACTATTGATTCTTCCTCCGCTATTTCGCACTCATCGGAATCTGTCTCGAGATAAATCTCGTCGCATACGGTCTCGTCTGAATTTGTCTCGTCTGATTGTGTCCAGTCTAAATATGTATCTTCTGGATCTGACTCTTGCTGCAGTGGTTCGGCCGAGCCATCTACTGTATGTATCGAAGTCGGTGGACTATAAGTCGCCTTCGTGACGTACTTTTCTTGAAATTCACTGCTAGCATTGCTCACCAACCTCAACGAGCTATGCGCACCATAAGGATCATGGATACGCCATACAGGACTTGAGCGCGCACGTTTGACTCCATTACCAGGTCCAATACTGTTCCACAATCCTGTACCCAGCTGTCGCTCATTCTGAAAGTCATAAATCATGTATCCTGGCACCGCACTTAGATGATGGCTAACTGCCAGATAACCTTCTCCGCCTCTTTCCTTTATATGTTCGAAGTCCTCAATCTTATCCCGGACAGACCCGGATCTCTTAAATTCTCTGTGGAGATTGGCCATTTTCTGCGCTTTTCTCGCACGACCATCGGCCCCAGAAATTTGTTTTCTCTTGAGCTGATTACGTCGGAAAAGATTTTCCAGCTCGGTCAATTTAGTCTCGGCTTTCTTCTTCTCCTCGTCTGTTCCATTGAAGATCTCATAATCAATTGCTGCCATGGTTTGTGGTACTTTATCCCACCAATACAAAGTCGTCTCTTTAAGCATGGGCCCATTTCCACCAGGACTCTTGGGATTATGGATGTACAGTGACACAGTATCATGGTAGTCCTGTACGGAAATTCGTTGATCTTTGCGTCCCTTTTCCTCAGCGCTTGCTCTTAAGGTTTTCAAACGTTCCCGGCTCCAATGCACGTCTACATGATCTTGATCAAGCGGCAGCCCCAACCTTCCAGTGTGCTCGGAGAGGTGAGAATTCTCAAAGTGCCTAGGCCATTCGGAAACGCGGCTTGGAGTGGGATTCAAAACGAAGGGTGTCTGCAAGTGTGCGGGAATCTTGTCGGCTTTGACAGTCCCTCGTTGCACAAGCCACCGCGTCTGGGGTACAGTGTCTACCTTTTTTGCTTTCTAGTAACTCGTCAGCTTGTGTTGTTTCCTCATCAAGTCTTTCCATCTATCCTATCGTCGCGACAAAAACCTTCAATCAGTAGAGATGTGCAGGTATGACTTACTTTACAGCCAAGATACAATCTATCAATCGAGTCTTCCATCTGCGTCCCGATGCGATGAAAATCCAGAAGCATGGAATATCTATGCCGCTCGAGCTCCATCGCAACAGACACAGTCGATTTCCAATTGTGACCATCGTAATAAGGAGCTGTAGGACGATCCATGGAAATACGTTCTAAAGAATTAGTGATTGTCATACTATTGTGCAAGAAAGCTTACCAGCATCGTTATCTTCGCGGTGAGAATTGAGAAAGCAATTCGCGGCGCTGCTCAGTTGGCAGCGCTGAATCATTCTTTGATAGGCCATTTTGTCGAGGGGTCAATTTAGCTTTGGGTTCCAGTCGCTTTGAGTATTATTCGTAACTGTTCGATTGTGTGATATTTCCTGAAGCTTCATGCGTTCTGATGTTTTTTTCTTTCTTTTTGAACGAGAAAGTTTTGTGTTCGTTTGTAGGGGGTGATGATGATGATGATGATGAACAGCTGTGCGAAGTTTTTTTTTCTTGATGAGCTCTGGTAGCTCCTATGTCAATGAGTTAGCTTAATGATATGTAATCTCTACGTTGACCTTGAACATTGGAGGAAGTCTAGTCCAAAGAGGGAAGGAGCAGATGAGCATCAAGTGATAGGGCTGCACTTACTTCAATGTTCATCGCTCTTCTGGAAAGTTTCGTGTTTAGTGTATAAGAAACGATGATCGGTCGATAGGGAATTGCCGAATGTGTCTATATTGTACGAGTGAGAATAGAAATTGTTCGAATGGGGAAACTCTGGAAGTTCGAGACTCTGCTGAGTATTGGTTTTCAATTCAATGCGCCGCGGGTCATCTGAAATATAATATGTTTGGAAAACCTTCAATCTTCTGCCCATTGGACAAAATTTTGGTCGGTTTTCGAAATTTGGCTTTCAATTCAATGCTATGTTGTCAGAGTCGACTATCCTAGCTAGTACGCTCCCCCCCATCTTCTCGCTTAGTGCGGCGACTTTTAAACCCAGCACAATTTTACCGCCAAGAACAGGATGAATTTCTTCAATTCTGGGCCAAATTCTGTGATTTAAAAACGAGGAGAAGCCGATGGAGTACCTTGTAGTTATCAAAATCATTCATATTATAATTTCATGAAGAAACATACTGTATAATCCTGGCTGGGCTTTTCGAAGAATTCAAGATCGAATGTGGGGCGATTAGTCTGCTCAAGCGATGAACTAGTGCAGCACTAAATGTGAGCGACAGACTACCATTGAAAGTTTATTTAGTAAATTTCATCTTCCAATGAGAAGCAGGGTTTGCACATGATTCACAGTTTGTCATTGGTCATGAGGAAAATACCCATCGACTAATTGTACGGTGTTCGCTAAATTGATTCTTTCCAAACTTTAGTAGAGGCGATTTAACAGGTGTCAAGGTTGTCAGTCAGTACTCCAAAATAAGGCAATCGCTCTTTCCATGCTGTACTTGGGGTTTCAATTACTAGTAAGCCGTGAAAGTGCCCTCCTTGACATGTCTGCCTTCTTTGGAATTACGTGAAATAAAATGAGATCTCATTCTACTGATTTATATCTTGACTGTGGTACTTCACCACAGGCTTCCCACGATCTCATTTCGCATTCCCAGCACTTCCCAGCGCTAATAGATGCCAGTTGTGCATGAAACTAAGTGCCGTGATGGGTCAGATCATTACAATTCCCTCATCACGTAGAAACCGGATCTCGAGTTACACCAAATTAAAATAGCATTTTGAACTGAGTAATAAATGGCTCGGTAGTAGATGAATCAAGTAAGGCTTCTGCCTGTGCCCTGCATTAAGACCGAACAAAAGCCACTGTGCTCTATAGCTACTCGGCACTGTGTTTAATTCGTGGGTATATTGCGCTTGGTTTCTCGATCATGAGAGGTTCTTTAAGACATATATGAATATTGAAATCGATCTGGACACATATTCCAAATCTGTACTCACTTTCCGCTCAGACATAGTAAACTTGGCCTTGGCTTATCGTTGATTGTTCAAAATGAAGTTTGTCGTTAGTGAGCGCTCTTGCCTTTCTAGTACAGGATGTGAATAGACTTTCTCGTCGTCGCAATTTATGATATATTTTGAGAATGAAGACCCATACCGGCCAATCATACAGCGAGCGCACACAAACATCTCTCAAGAGTTTCTTGGTAGTCAATCATTAACGACTGGCCAAGGAACTTGCAATGTTTAATATTACTCGAAATGAAAAGGCCACGAGAACGTTCCGAAAAATAAGAGCAGTGGATATGTCAGATGTGGTAGTTTTTACTATCCCCATCATTTGGTGAACACATTTTCGTCGGGTGCAAATATCTAAGGATATCATTTCTGGCGCACTCCCACACAGAGAAATAATGAGATTAGTTATGTCAACGAAGTCCAACAAAGACACCGACGCAGTTTTATTTCTTCTCAAAATCCACATGCGAATACTTGTACTAAAATGTGGGGGCATTTTTTGACATTATATCAAGGAAGTGTACAGGCAAGGAGACAGACCGTAGAAGGAGATGTATCGATGAAATTGCCGTTTAGACTATCTTATGATCAAACAGATGCCAGTATTCCTTTCTAATTCCAAGAATTTCAATGCCAATCATCTTGTGCTGTGTGTAGAACGAGTTCGTCTCGAGGTGCATAGCTGGTGAGAGTATCTATAACCCTAGAATAGCATATGAAATGAAGTAATATGTATCTACAACTCTTTAGACCTGCAGCAAAGCAGTAAAGTGGCAGAGGTCAGTTCATGAGATGAAAAGTGTAGAACAGTATAAACTTCCAGCTTTGTGCGATCGTGTTTCGATCAACCGAGCTTCATTCAGCTTTATACTCTGTATATTAAGTGCCGAAATTCAAAGGCAGACAGTTAATGGGTGAACAAAGAAACCAATGGGATGAGATCTCTTAAGGCATTTTGAATCAATTGCCGCTCTGGAATTGTCTCGATCAGGTTTGGTCAGTCGTTGCAGTTGCAAATCGAAATTATCTTCGCACTGCAGCATCCTCTCTGACTCGTGCATTTGCCACTTAAAGAATAGGATTATCCTCAGTTAGCTAGGCCTACATACAATGATCACCGTTTGAAGAACTCTTGCTTCTTATTCTCAAAAGCTTCACAGTAATCACTATCCTTTTAGTGACAGGAGCAAAGTAAAGCTTCAAAATACTATTCATGGCTCGTATACCTTGCGATAATAATTTTGTGAGCCTCAAACTTAGTCGGGTACATGGAATTCGTGGAAGATAGTGAGAAGCTTGAATATTTGAAATGAAGAAGAGTTGCAAAAGAAAGAATGCAGTAGTGACCCTCTGCTACCACATAATTTCTGCTTTCTGAGCCTTTGAATGATACATTGAATTTCCTGTGACCTACCTATGTGGTTGTAAAGAGGCATATCTAAAATTTAACGACGTTACTACATGTAGACGGTTTATCTTGGTTTCCAAGTTGGAAGGAAAACGATAGCACTTAAGGTATGCCAACCAGCAAGCGTTTAGCTCAAAGTAACATTTGATCCTAAACGTAAGAGGATTTACGCAGATCCTTTCCTATGTCACACACTATGATTAAATTGCTCTTAGTTAGTTGAGTTATTTATAGAAATAATATTTTAGATATGCAACGAAACACATTTTCTTCTATCCCAAGAGTGTGATTGGTAGGAAGTGATCAGCAAAGAGCAAGATAGATGCTAGTAATTTTTCTATTAGCTAAACACGCACCGAGTCTTCGGATCTACAAGTGATTCTAAAATATATGATATAACCATAGAAGTCTGAAGTTATTTATAGAAATTAAATTTTAGATATGCAACGAAACGCAACTACTTCCCTTTCTCGAGGGTATGATTGGTAGAGCAGTCAGCGAGGAGCAGGATAGATGCTAGTAGTCTTCCTATAGGCAGATATGTATACAGACTTCAGATCTATAAGTGTTTCTAGAATATGTGATATAAAGGTAGAAGTCTGAAGTTATTTATAGAAATCTCATTTCAGATTTGTAACAAAATACATCTTTTTGTCTTTAGGGAATGTGATTGGTAGGAAGTAGGCTGTCCACAAAGAGCAAGGTAGACAATACTAGTCTTCTTACTAGCCAAATTTGTATCCAGACTTCTCCAGATCTACATGTGTTTTCTAGAATATATGACATAATCATAGCAATCTGAGGTTATTGATAGAGATAGTATTCAAGATATGCAACAAAAGACTGTATTACACGAGGTCGATATAGCAATTGATAGGTGAGAGATAGTGAACTAAAGGTTTACTTTCGGTCTAGTTTTGACAGGTGGATCCAGACCTGCAACAGCAGACTGTAATAGCTTTACGCAGAACTTGATAGGTGCAAGATTATGAGCTATTAGTTAGCTGTCCGTCTATCTTTTGACAGGTGGATCCAGATATGCAACATACTATTATCGTATTTCTATTAGAGTGTGCTAGGCGAGAGATAATGAGCTAACGATTAGCTACCTGTCTATTTTTTGACAGGTGGATCCAGATATGCAACAGAAAACCATTATGATTCAATCCAGAATTTGCTAGGTGTAACATAGTAGACGGGAAGTTAGTCGGCTTCCTAATTTTTGACAGGGGAATCAGATATGCAACATACTGCCATTGTATTCCAATACAGAACTTGATTCGTGGAAGATGGTGAACTAAAGGTTTACTTTGGGTCTATTTTTGACAGGTGGATCCAGATGTGCAAAATACTGTTATTTTATTTCTATCAGAGTGTGATAGGCCAGACATTATGAGCTAAAGATTAGTTGACTTTCTAATTCTTTGACAGGTGAATCAAGATATGCAACAAAACTATTACAATTGAATCTGGAATTTGATAGGTGCAAGACAGTGGACGGGAAATTAGTCCACTTTCTAATTTTTTGACAGGTAGATTCAGATGTGCAACATACTGCCAATTTCTACTCAAAGCGTGCTAGGCCAGATATGGCAAGCTAGAAATAGAATAGGAGATTAGTTGGCTCTCCAACATTTTGACAGGTGGATGCAGACATGCAACAAAATGGACAGGTCATTTGCTAAAATAAGTGTGATTAATGCGTATTAGACGATCGGAGCGGCAAGCAAGTTCTATTATAAGTTTCTTTCTTATAAGACTCCTTTCAGACACGTAAATTATCTTCAATTGCTGTATTATATTGAAGACATGTGTCAACTCTCGTCGAGATTTTATTCAGAATACTCTTATTATTAGTCCCTCGAGTCTTGAGGACACGTCCGATAAGACAACTTTCAGACGTGGATATCGCATGGCACTGATGTCTAATTTAATTACTTGAAGAGATTCATACCCGATGATGGCAGCACATCTTCCATCATAGCAATCTTGCTTGACTCAGCGAAAGAATTATTGCCCAAGGCATATCGGTGAGCCCGCTTAAAATAAGCGAAAGTTAAATGTCTAAGAATGAACATCCTACAATACGATCTGGGCTACGGTAGCCAGCGTCCGTTTTCACCTAGTGAAGTAATAGCTCCTTCGTATGCAGTAGCTCTGATCCCATACTTCGAGGTGCAATCGGCAAATGAGAATCTTTAATCAGTACGATTATTTGAGGATTAGGCCTCGCTGAAATGATCAAAACCGTTTAAATCATCTATCAATGTTCGAAACATGCTTGCGTTATCAAACATTGAAAGTTTTCATATGTGGTGAATTAATATTCTTCTATTGTTGAGAATTTCCCTCCTATGGATTGTGTGGAAAAGATCTAAGATTACCTAAAGTTCGTCACCCAAGGTAGAGGAACTGGTAATCAAATCATGCATGCTCTGCATCAGTGCTGACTTATTGGACTCTGCTTTGGATATGTAGATTCTGGGCCTTATCCAGCTAAGCTCTTTGGTTGAAAGACTTTTACCCATAATAATCGACCTAACGTATCTATACTTCTCCATTTTTGACTAGTGAATGGATTGGATGGATCCATATCGAATCATTTCTCATCTTCCATGCATTAATTATGTCATAATACAGTTCGCTTGTTCTTGCCATGATGAACTCAACCATTCTGTATTGTATCACTTCAATGGCGATCAAAACTTAATCGTGCCATGAATCCGTTATCTCTTATCCAGACATGCAACATAGTGAACTCAATCGTGCCGTGAGCCTGTTATCTCTTATCCAGATATGCAATATAAAGACTCAATCACGTTTTGCTTGGAATCTACCAATATCTTGGCTTAGGCTTCTTAACTGAATGAGCAAACCTAGAAGTTCAGATCACATTTTCAGCATAGTCTGAGATTTACGCGGTGAACCTCAATTCGATGCGCAAGAACAAGTATTTGGATCAGGTGACGTTAGAAAATATTCTGTGTAATTGAGGTGTTTTGCTTCGTTCCTCTTTATTTGGGATCTCATTTACATATACAATATGAAACTTTCGAGTTATAATTGCAAAGATCACATGGCCGCTGCACAGATAGAGAGCCTGGTTTAGACATGCAACATGAGGCATTCAATTACACTCATAAAGTTTGGTATAATTAGCTTCCAATGAAGTACTAGCCAACGGGTAGAAATACTCGCCTAGGCAAGCTTAGAAGTTCTATAAATAGAGACCCATATCTCAGATGTGTAACATATGGAGTTCAGATCATGCTTCCGATAGAGGCCGGAAAGAGTTCGGAGTAAATCTGGGATACCAATCTGCCGCTCGATTGTCTTCCTGCGCAGGTCATGGTGGGCATACTACACATTGCTTTATCGTGCTAGGTACAAAGAGGTAGAAAATTATACACAATACAAGTAGTGCTTACATGTGAACAACGAGTTGGATTATGATAGAAGACCTTAGAGTAGTCAGAAATCCATGAAAGTATTATTAACACGGCGCCCACGGGCTCTCGAAGACAGCTAGTCGCTCTGTGAAGTCGCTAAAGGACAGATACATAATATATTCTCGTATATATAGACTTTGAACCAACAGTCTAGTTATGTTATTCTATAAAACTCAACAGGTGATAATTGTATTCGATACTACATTATTTCATAGAAACATAACTTTAATATCATTTCTAGTGGAAGGAGAACTTTGAATTTAATGATGCAAATAAGTCTGACGTTAATTTTTACTTCACTTCATGCTCAGCTAATCAGACATTTATGTTCACTGACAGTCGACAGATTTAGTTTTTCAACTCTTAAAGCCTATTGATAAAGCATATGTCATGATTGCTGTTGTAGCAACGTTTTACTATTTCTCAATTGAACAAATCAAGCGTCTTGTAGCAGTACTTGGGACGTATCCTCTGTGGTTTGTTTTGAACACTCAAAGATCTCAAATGACTCACGGCGCCATTCGGAGCTGGTGTATACAAGAGAGTTATTATGGTTGTGATAATGGAATAAATTTTGTAGAAGATAACGTTGAGTATCTCCCATCCTAAACGCAAGCAGCACAAAACTCTGGTGAAAATAACTTGAAAAACACTCAAAATAACAGAATGAGCTAAGACTCTGAAGCTTGAATCCCCGCTCTTATGATTTCCACAACTTTGACACCTCTCAACCCCTTGATTATGTTTGCTAGAGTTGGGAACGCCATTTCTAGTTTCCCATTTTCCAGATCCGTGAATACAATTTCCGCCTTCCCAGCCTTCCATCTCCTCTCTCCTTCCACTGTCGGTATTGAAAGATAAGTTGTCGCGTACTCCGCATCTGTTCCCTTCTTCATACTCGACGGAATGGCCTTATAGTGTAAAACCGGACTTCATAGAGCAGACTCAGTATTTGGAGTCTCCCCCAAATCATTCAAGGTTAGGCAACAAAACTCGGCACCTTCCCAACCAGCACTCAATACGAACGACGATTCCAAGTTAGAATTTTCATCCAATGTTGCAAATACCTTCGAGAACCCTAATTCCTCTCGGCCAGTGATGATTGGATCGGCCATATTTTCGAAGAGAACTGGCAAAAAATCACCTTTCATGTCAGCCGAATCACCAGAGTGACTGTCCGAGGAAATATTATGTACGACATCATGAACATATAACCCTATCATTGAGTACCCTCTACCTCCGAGCTACTCTAGATTCTTCAACGTGTGACAGACAATGTGGCAGTCGCCCACATACCCTCCGTACCAATTTGGAGATTATCAGACGGCGAAAGAGTCAATAGATAGCTCTTGTATGCTTTGAAAGTGATATGACTTGTTTTGTATGCCGCCTTCAAGAGCTTTCGTTGTCTTCCGTTAAAATCTTGTCTTGGACCTGGGCTAGGCTCAAGGAGTATTGGCATTCTTCGATACAAAGCGTTTTTGTTCAGATGCCGAATCAAAATTCCATGAGCATGATCGTAAGCGTCATGGGATAGGTTTGTCTGCATAAATTGCATGGGATCTATAAATTTTCCTCCATGTTTTCCACGAACAGTCTCAAATGCAGCTTGGCGAGTGAAATCTTGTACGAGTGTAACACGATCATATCTGGCTTGAACGTAAAGCTTCAAACGTTGCTGGACATCAGAACATCAAGTACCCAATGGAATTAAAGCCCCGATTGCCGCACTATCTTTTATTGCCTGAGTACCGCCTTATCCTTGGTGTGGAAGAAAACCATGAGCTGCATCTCCGAGCAATGCCACTTTCCCGTGAACCCAATTCTCTCTCCCCATTTCCTCGTGATCTAGTAAACTCCATAGCTTGATATCTTCAGCGGAAACTTTCACTAGCAGGGCTTGAACATCATCTGTATACGAAGCGTAACAACTCAAAAGGGAGTCTTTGGATGCACTTTGACTCCATTCTTCTGAACTAGCTTCCATTTCTTCTTCCAGATGCATTGCCACAATATTCAATAAAGTATTGTTTCTACATGGATACGCAACTATTTTTCGATCTTTTCCGTAAAGTAGAAGCATTTGTCTAGATTTCTCAACAAAATGTGCTGTCTTAGGATCTGCTCGAATCTCGTCGATTGGAATTAAGAATCTGAAAGCGTTGGTTCCAGATGGCTTTGGGGGTGGAAGATTCTTCAGCAGTAAAGATCTGATCTTTGAATGAATACCATCCGCAGCGATTATGAAATCGCCCGTGTGTTTAGATCCATCATCCAAAGTCAAAGAAGGAGATTCAACATCAACAGACGCAACCCTACTTCGGGTATGCAGAATTCCTGGTATTCCTATACCGTTTTTAGAAGTAGCAATGTCTTTTAGTGTATCATGAATGTCTACTCGATATATCAATTGCCAAGGGTATGGATAGGCCTTTGATAGACCTCTCACATCTCTGGAAAATACTAATTCTCCATCCGGTCGATACTCTGATACTTACTCTGTCTGATTTGCGCTATGATCCTCTGGTATCATACCAAATCTTCTTAACAGACCATTTAAATTGCTGGGAATGTGTATTGCTGCACCGGTCTCAGATGCGAGGCGAGACTGTTCAAAAATCTATCTACTAGTTAGTCTCGACATCTTGGGTAAAATTCAGGGACTTCAACACACCTCCACAATGTGTCCTGCTTGCCGCAGAAAGATCGCTGCCGAGAGGCCTCCAATTCCACCACACGCTATCAATACCTTTAAAGGTTTGTAGTGGTCGTTAATGTTATCGTTGGTAGTCATCGTTAATTCGGAGATCGTGTGGTGTATGGAGATTAAAATTCTTCGAGAGTGAATTCGCTTTTTAGTGTTACTACACGTAAGATTTAATGATCGTTGTCAATATAATCACAAGAAGTCAGGAAATTCAAGATAACCGATTTCCCTACTACATACACGACCCTACTATATACACGCTTTTTTATAACGTAACGTATGGGGAACTCGGACACTTTTAGCCCATCACCAACTTGAAACCGCAATAACTTTTATTATGCATACCCAATCACCTTCTACATCTGCTCAAATTGAAGAGAAGCTTCAAAAGGCTATAATTTCACTTCAATTGAAAGAATTTAAATCAATTAGAAAGGCTGCAGAGCATTTTGAAGTCCCTAAGTCTACCCTAGCTGATAGGCTGGCTGGGAAGAAAACACGTTCCCAAACCCACGAAATGGCTCAAATTCTTTCAAACGCAGAAGAAAATACTCTTGTACAATGGATTTCACGACTTACCATCACTGGATTCCCTGCTACACCTATGTTGGTGAAGGAAATGGCCGACGAAATTCGTCTTCGACGCGTTCGGGTCGCGTCATCTCGAAATCCTACCTCGACAGAAATTCCACCTATAGGCCACGAATGGATCTATAGATTCCAAAAACGACATCCAGAACTTAAAACATGCTATTCACGTCAATTAGAGTCTAATCGGGCTAAAGAAGCAACTCCGGAGAATATTCAGGCTTGGTTTGACGCGTTTCGCACGCGTCTCATTGAGCGAAAGTATGAATTAGATGATATGTATAATATGGATGAAACCGGATTTGGAGTTGGAAGTACTCAAAGTACGCGCATTATAGTCGATTCTACTCAGAAATCGAATTGGAAAGTTACAGCTGGCAAGCAAGAATGGATAACTGCATTTGAATGTGTCAATGCAGCTGGAAATACTCTATCACCTATGGTCATTTTCAAGGCTCAGAATACGAATTCTGCATGGATTCCAAAGGACACACCTCAAAGCTGGCAGTTCTCTACTAGTACAAATGGATGGACCTCAAATAGCTATGGATTAGAATGGTTAAAAAGGGTTTTCGAACCAGAATCCAAGAAAGTGTCAGGTGACCGACCTCGACTTTTGATCATGGATGGCCATTCAAGCCATATTACAGGTAGCTTTATTGCTTTCTGTATAGATAATGATATTGATTTACTTATATTACCTCCTCATTGCTCTCACTTGCTTCAGCCACTTGATATTGCGGTGTATGGGCCAATGAAACGATATCATGCTTTAGAGGTCGATCGATATTCTCGAGCTGGTGTAAAGCGAATCCAAAGAGCTGAATGGGTAGAACTCTTTCAAAATATTAGAAAAAAAGCATTGAATTCTTCTAATATTAAAGCTGGCTGGAGAGGAGCTGGTTTAGTACCTTTTGCCCCACGAAAAGTACTCGATTCATTACCATTTAACTCCTCCCAGCAACCTTCTACTCCACAAATGAGAACCCCCAATCAAGACCTAGACTTGTCTATACTCAGGAGTTCTCCTCCAGATGGAACAGAACTAAGGCAAGCAAATCAGATCTTTAATACAGCTCTAGCAAGCAGTGGTTCTCCTGCATCGCCAACTCGTCGATATGCCAAGAGAATGACTAGGCTTGTAGAATCTCAAAATGCTGAGATAGCCCTACTTCGGAAACAGCTCTCTGATGCTCAGGAGGTAATTGAGACTCGAAAGAAAAGAACTAAAGGCAAAAGAGTCAAATTACAAGGTCAATTTGTCTTTAGTACTAAGGAAGTATTGAAAATGGTACGTAAGGCGGAGGAAAAACCGAAGGAGAAAAAGCCACGAGGACGGCCACGCAAACGCCCAATTGAAGAATCAGAAGAAGAGATTGAAGAAGAAGAGCTAGAGAATAGTTCAAGTGATTCGGAATTGGAATTGGAGGATTGTGTGGCTCGTAGAACAAGATCGCGTGTAGAATAATTGAAAAAGTGTCCGAGTTCCCCATATGTCCGAGTTCCCCATACGTTACGTTATCAAAATAAAAATCAATTTAAAATTCAATTCTATAATTAATTAATATTATTAATTTAGATTTATAAGAATTTCAAATTATTAAATTGAGAATTAATTAAATAATTAAATAAAAAGAATATAGAATTTTGATATATAATTTCTTAATAAACAATATATTATAATTTATTTTTAAAGTTATAATAGATTTTTATAGATTTTTTGTCATTAATAATATTATAAAAAAATCAAAAAAATCAAAAAAGTAAAAAGAATTAAATTTAATATGAATTATTAGATTTTTTGAATTATTTATAGTTATTTTGAGAAAGTTGAAAATATATTTTAAAATAAATTTAAATTTTATATCTAATATTAAAGATTTAAAAATTATATTTTTAGAAAAGGAATTATATTAGATATTGAAATATATAAATTTTTAATTTATTAAGGGAAATTATTTAAAAAAATCTTTTATTTTTGAAATTTTATTTTAAAATAAAATTCTTTAGAAATAAGTTTTTTGTAATTCGAAATATTATTAATTTATTTTTTAAAACAATTTTTTCAAATAAAAGTTGATTTAATGTTAATTAATAATCAAATTTTCAAAATTTAAATTTTTTATTAAATTAAGATTTAATCAATATAGTTTTATTCTTTAATAATTGATTAAAATCTTTATAAAAAATGTTTAAAATTAAAATTTCTTAAAGAAACTAATAAATATTTATATTATATTTATTATTAAATTAAATCAAATTATTAATTATATTTATAAATCTCTATTTAGATATAATATTAATGAATTATAGATTTTAATATATTTATATTTTTTTTAAAGATTATTAATATTATATAACTTAAAAATGAAATAAAATATTATAAATTTATTATTTTACTAATAATTAATCTTTAAAATATTTTCTACAAAAAAATTAGAATTTAATATCAATATAATTTCAAATTTTCAATAAAAACTTTAGTTTTTTTTTTCAAATATTTTATATTATAATATATATAGTTTTATAATTTTATTAAATAAAATTCATATTTATAATTATATTAATAAATATATTAATAAATAAATATTTTTTTTCTATAAAAATTTGATATCTTATTTATTATTATTATTACTATAATTTTTGAGATTTTTAAATTTTTTATTTCAGAATATTAAACCAATTTATTTCAATTATTTCAAATTTGAATTTCAAGTTATAATATTGCTTTTTTAATTTTTAATTCAATTTAATTCAATATTTTACATAAATAATAAAAACGTGCATATAGTAGGGAAATCGGTTATGTATGTTCTCATTCATGGACGTAATCTTACAACCTCCGAGCTGAAGTCCGTTCTCTGGCTTCCTGCCGGGATACAGGCATCCATTTTGATTTTTTGTAACGTGATTAGCTTCCGCTTCAGAAAATTAAATCAATTCCTGTATGTGGTCTCAGATTCCACAATTCGATGCCGTATGGGGCCCCGCACCCACCGGCAGTTTCGTTGTTATATCGTCACCCTCCACTCGGCCCACATACTCCTCCCAGCGACATGCGGACATTCCTTCGATTACTGAACCCAAATGCAAAAATCATGGAAAGATTGTCATAGTCCCGGTAGTATCTCGAATCTGAGGGTAGAATCTAATCAATTTATTATTGGACTATCTTGTTCCTCTTTGCGGCATTTGTCTTACTTGCAGAGACTTACTTACTTATCCAATTAACTATTCTTGACCTTATGGAAGTAATATCACAATACGCATTAACGAATATATACCGATAACCAACCCTTCGTATCTCCAAATACCTACTTCAACATACCCGACTCGATCGAGATTTACACTACATAATTGTCAAGATGATTAATTCAGTGGATCCTAGTCCGCTCCCCAAAATCTCCCGACACATCACCGACCGTGACCGTGACGGCAAATCCTTAATATCCTCTTCCCTCTCCCCAGAATCTACTTGGACAGCCGACAAAGGAGCCAATTTCTTTCTGGGATACTACAAATCAGAATTCCCGGTAGAAATGAGCTCCAACAAAGATGTATCCAGCTACACAAATTATCTATCTTCTCTACCAGGCCTAATCGTTCTAGGGAGTACCATCCTCCGAGTTGTGGATATGGAACTAGGGCTTGTATCACCCATGCATAGAGCTACGAGCTTAGATTACGGGGCGGTTATCGAGGGAGAGGTAGAGTTGATTTTGGATGGAGGGGAATAGAGGATCTTGAAGAGAGGTGACATTTGTGTGCAGAAGGCTACCGCTCATGCTTGAAGGAACTGTAGTGAGACGGAGTGGGCAAGGATGCTGTATGTCTTGACGGAGGCAAAACTAGTTATTGGTCAAGATGAGAAGGAGTTGAACGAGGATTTGGGTGGAATGGAGGGGGGTGAGGAAGAGTGGTTAAGGATTTGTGAAGAGACGGCTAAATCATGATTGAAGTGTTCTGCAATATAAACAATTATTTGTGCCTATATCATCAGTTGACATTGTCTCGTTTTCAATTGCATCGATCTAAAAATAAGAGACTTCTGTCCGATGACAGCTCTATGTAGAGATGTGAGTTGTGACACAATGATGGGCTTTGAAGGTGTTCTCGTCCAATTCATGCGTCATTCATAAGTTAGAATGTACTCGTCCTATATACTATCCATTTATTGACTGTTACTTGATCTTGGGGTTCCTGGAAGATGGGCACTGCCATCTTATATTGAGAATAGTACCAGTGGGATATGACAAATATCAATTTATTTTATTTCAAGGCTCGGGACTTGGGACACAAGTTTGTGGGATATTCATGAACGATTTATGGCGAGTAAATAGCATTTCCTAGACTTATTCACTATTTCAAAGGCTCTTAACCTCCGATGAATAATATCACAGTTGACATTTGCCACTTCCGGTTCGAACTGCACATTTCATCTCATGCAAATTACACAAGAATTGATACACTTAGCCTTTGATCGTCCACGCTTCATAAAGCCAGAACAAAATGATCAAAGTTGGATGAAATTTTCAATTCTATGATTTCAAGATACCATATGACAAAAAGGTGTATTTAAACCTTATGATCTTGACGGAACAATAGGTAATGTGACGAAATTCTCCTGTCCATCACCAAAATGAATGTTATTCTTACCCGAAAACCTGTCTACGGATCTAGAATGTCAAAGTTAGCACATATATACCTACCTCAACAACAGCAAACCAAAACAAAAAATTGAAACAAGAAACTCACCTATCTTTCTCATTCCCATGAGTAAAAAATTCCACTTCCCTGAGTGTCCCCCGAACTCACTTCTAGCACAATCTTCCCCCCTTTCTATACCACAACATTAGTAGGCCGTACCTCAAAATCTACTGCATAAGATGTTTCCGGTTTGACTTCCTGAACATCCATCGAACGATATTCGTGATATGGTTGATATGGTAGATTCCGCGGATGGTCCTCCGCAATCTTACGGAGAGATACTAGGAGCCAGCCTTTAGTTAGTGGAACCGGATCTCCTGCCGTGCCGGTGTAGAAAATTTCCTTCACCTGAGGGGGAAATATGGCGGAGGGTCAGGAATATATCGATGTCTTTCTCCGGGGCGGTTGCTGTCGGAGAAGGAGAGAGGGATACGTTCAGATGTGCGGTGATATGTCCAGTAATTTCTTTTTTCTGCTCAAATGGTGCGCTTGTGAAATGGTCGAGTTTTGGATCTTTGAGGGTTCCCAGCGCATCATATGAAACTTCGTCTGCGCTTGATGCTGGCAGGATTTTGGGAAGTGTTCTCTCTGGTGTGAGATAGAACTTGGTATATTGGGCTCCTGCTAATGGCCACTCTGTTTCTTCTCTTCGTTTATATTTATTTTCCGCTTCGGCATTATTGTAACCAACATCTCCTTTTCGAAGAACCACGCTGACAGGGCTGACTTTTCCGGGGATAGACCAGCCAATTTTATCGTCATCCTTGAGAAACGCATCGGGGAATGATTTCTGTAATTCAACTTCTTCTTTGTAGTAAAAGGGAAGATCGTGGCATCCAGTAATGAAGCGGAGATACTTCGACTTGGAACCTGCCCACATGTAGCCATTTACATTGCCTGCAATTCTCATCAGCGAACATTTAAATCATCTTCGGCTACAGACTCACCTCGAAGATGCAACAAAATGCCCCCCAATTTGCCACCGATAAAACAGAAACTTCAGTATCCTCCAAATTGAAATCTTTTGACTTGTAATACTCGTCATCCAAGAAGCGATTGTTTACATTATCGATAGTCTGGTCATTACGATTTTTGAGAAGCGTCTTTTCATCCAAATCCCCTTCTGTGGTATCCTCACCCTATTTCAAAGCTGCACGTCCAGGTCGACCATATTGATTGGAGATAAGTTGTATATTCCACCAAAGTCGGATAAATTCATCTGAGAGAATTCCACCATGTCTGCACCGATCGCGGTAATAATCAGTCATTCCCTCCCATGGAGTAATAGCCGCAAGACCCTTTGGCCTACGAGCTGCGACACGCCATTGACTGCCTATATGATAGATCAGCATAAAATAGACAAATTAGGATCTGATCAGTCGGTATCTCATACCTGCATAACAACTGATTCCTAATAGTCCAACTTTTCCGGAAGACCAAGATTGCTCCGATGCCCACTCAACAACATCAAAGAAACACTCGCTCGTGCCTCGAGATATTGTATCTAAGAGTCCAGGACTTTGACCCAGTCCTCTCTCATCTGCCCTCACAATAACATATTCTTTGGAAGTCCAGGATACTGGATCTGGAGTTGCCCAAGCACTATATTTACTTTTATGCTCAGAATTTACCTTGCTGAAGGATTTGACGAAGAAACTTTCGGGACGACAATGTCAGTATATATGATTTAAGCTATAATTAATTTGTATGGAAAGACCTTTGGTGGTCTAAACTCGCTTATCGTAAGGAACATCTTTCCCATAAGGTCCATATGTCACAAGGACAGGGAATTTGGCTCCTTCTGGAGCAATTGATCTATAGACATTACATCTCACTGGAAGATCAGATGCCTTAATCGGAATAGAGACATTTTTCTCAGATACCAATCCATTCTCTTTGTCTTCAACGACTTCCATGAAATCCCTGATTTATTGGTGGTGGTCATCGTAAATGTTAATTCGGTAATGATTAATATTTCTCTTCGGCCAAGTGATCAGGATGTACTTGATCAAAACAATAGTTTATTTGTTTCTAGAGCCCGGTGTCTTTCCTATCACTAAATCACCGTTACTAGTAGGTCGAGCTTTAGTAAAGTCTCTACCGGGCTGCTGTCAAATGCCGAGCTAGGTATTATGGAAAGGTTGCGGAATGTGGGGGAATGATGACGGAAGCGAGATTTCCGTTCGGGATGACGCTACGGGCGACTGACTGATCAGGGGTTCATACATGCACTCGTACTAGGCCGGTCCATTTGGGTCAGTGTATAGCGCAGATAAATTACTTTAGTCCATATACAAATCCGACTGAGTTAACAAGAATTTATCCTGAAATTCGGCAAATATTGTAGTCAACTTCGAAAGAACAAATTGATGTCTGTAAAAATGGCCGCGGTAACGAATTTGACTCCTGTTCATTTCTTCTCTCATGGCTCCTCAATGATGCTTGGGGAAGAATCCGATAGTGCAACATACTGGGGAAAATGCGGCGACAAAGCTCTAGCAAAAGGGATTAAACATGTGGTAATGATGGTCAGTAAAAAGATTTCCTCGAGTAACCCCGAAAATCTACCATTTCATTAAAAAAACTCATCAGGGAGCACATTGGGCAACTCTCGGCAACGAAATCGAAGTCGCCTCGAATTCCCTTCCAGGAAAATCTCCAGTGGCCTATGTGCATCCGTCAAAATACGTTCCATACAAATTAAATCCTGACATTCATATGACAACTCGCTGTGTTGAACTTCTGAAGAAGAATGGGCTCAGAGCGAAGCTCAATGGTAAGTTTGATTGGATTCATGATAACTATTTAACCCTCATACGAATGTTCCCGGATGAATGCCCGCCAACGACTATTATCTCTATGAACGCAAGATATGATGCTCATTGTCATACCAAGGTAGGAACTGCGTTATGACCGTTAAGAAGAGAAGACGTGCTCTTCATCGGAACGGGAGGCGCGATACACAATTTGTATCGGGATATTTGGTTTCAGATGTTAATATATCGAGGTATAAATCAATCTTTTACTATCGCCGTCTATTTCTAAGATCTAACCACAACCTCCCTATAGATAACTTTGCCATGGAATCTCCCCCAGATGCCGCAATGCTCGAATGCCGCCAAGAATTCGAAGGTGCAATGACCAAGAACCCCGGACCAGAATTGCGAAGAGCAGTGACAATGTTAATGAAATTATCTAAATATCGTGATGCGCGTGGCACAGATGATCATTTTATGGCTGCAATGTTTGTGGCCGGGCTTTGTGGGGACTTTGAGGATCGGGGGACTGTTGCTGTGATGGGGGCGGAGGATTGGGAGCTGAGGAATATGTGTAATAGCCAATATACTTTTGGCAACTGGGGATCTGGGAATCTGAGAATAACGGGCAAAGCTCAGGGTTTAGGTGCTTTTGGGGGAGCATGAGAGTTCTTTAAATTACGTGATTTTTTTGTGCACATTAGCGTGTTTAGCAATTTGATGATTCCCCATTCGACTCTATTAGATTCAACCCCAAAGGATAACACTGTCATATATTAGTGCTTAGTCTTGGGAAATTCAACATCCTAAAACAGCTTCTCTCAATGTTTAAAATTGTGCCAAGTTGTTGATAGGAAACATCCTCTCAAATATTTCAGTCCTATCAGCGGCCTCAAAGACGAGATCTTTTTCACAGTCCTTTATAGATTGCAAATAGGGGGTTATCTCGCAATTTGCGTCCAAAAAGTAAATTGAGTAATGACATAACTTAAACAAACATACTTGAACAGAACCGAACTCATATTGATAAATCCCAAAAGTAATCAATCCCGACCCACCCACAGCCTCCCAATGATACCCCAAGCAGATCTCCCTCCAACCCAAGATACATACCCCAAAGCCGGGATCATAACCGACAGAAACAAATCTCCACCCAACAGAATTCCCTGTTCAAAAAATCCAATGGCATGACCAGGAGCCTGAACCGTTTCTGGCAGTGCTTTTACGGCCATCTTCTGAGTCTTATTGAGAAGCTCATGGCTCTGTGACCCCCTGCAACAACTTTTCCAAGAAGCAAGAGTGCTTCGGGCGGAAGAGAAATGTATTGTGAGCATGGAGATGAATACATTTCTACACTATATTTGTGACACGCAGGAATTGGAAGTGGTGTTGAGGGAGCAGCGGGCCCCACGAGGAGGTGCAGTGGGATATGGTTTACGTAACTGGTGCTGGCATTGAAATGTTGAGCGAGAAACTTTACGGTTGACAGATCTGAAAAGATGTGCAAGGCGAGTAATGGAGATCTGGGAATATTTTTTAGATACTGAACTTAAGAGTATTGGACGAAATTATGTGAACTCACTTTGATTTCTGCGCCATGATGACATCCACTAAACTTGTTATTCCATGACTAGTAGGTGGCAGCCGCTAATTTTTATCTCTGTAATGGTTGTATCTTAGCTGCCATTTTGATTGGGAACAAGCATAGAAATTGATATATTTACCTACCCACAACATCGACAAGCACAAAATTGTTGGATCCAAAAAATGAGATTTGCTTTTTGTTTTCAGCATCCTTGAGTGCCTTTTTGGTGGCAGAACTTCTATCGTTCTGTCTACTTTGGCTACTGCTATTGGAGGAAAATAAATTGCTCGCATGTCTCGTACAAGCTTCTATCAAATCACTTTTGACAAATTCATTGACAATAACTAAATCGGGACTATATGCCGAAGTTTCTTGAAAAGAAAATCGAGCAGTGACAATAGATTCTGCTGCACTTTCAATTTCTGCTGTTCAATCAACAACTACAACTATTCGATCTGACGATTTTGAGATGAGTTGATTAATGTTTGAGGTTGAAGACTTGCTTGTTTGATCGACTAATAGTGCCGATTCAAGGATCGAGGGGGCTTCCAGGTTTCTCGGTGAGATGTAAAATGTGTCGTTGCTTAGGGCTTAGGGTAACAATTCTTTCAAGATGCTATCAACTTTTAAAATTATGTCCCCAAGCTAGTCATCTCTCAGTATATATTTCGTACCTATCCAGAGATATCTGTTGCACGTACCTCTAAACAGACACAGTTCCCGGCAGTGATAGCAATTGCTATCGGACATATGATTGAGTAAAATTTTGTGTGTCGTCGGCCGAATGACCACTAACCCCTTTCCAATTTTACACGACAAGAAATCCTTACCGTTAGCAACCTTATATTCGTTGCTTATTGATTCCTCGAAATTGAGCCTTTGATAGGATCTCCGGATAACGTCAGAAGCAAGGTAAAACACGCACAGGACTTCAGTATTGGTTTTCTGAACGTGGCCGAAGGGATCTTCGGATATTGCTGAGGTGATATTGTCAAAATTGTTTCGTAGAGCTTTATGAAGACACTGAAGCTCATTTTGTCTGTATCTAACGTTGTCGCACCTGCCATCAATTGCAGATGCTCGTAGATTGTCAATGCCGAATGATGCTATGTTGATACCTGCACTACAAAATGTTACAAAAAAAAGGGTTTATGTAATGATATATCTTAGATAGAATAGAGCATAGATATCGGAAAATTCAAGGGAATCAAAATACTCCTCATCCGAGATGCGGGGAGAGGCTAGGGGTTGACGGAATGTGGAGGGTGAGGAGGAGTTTCCCCGAGATTCCAAAAAATCCACTGCTCAAGATAAGGCATGTTCGTAGATTAATTCGAACAATAACTGGGTAGCTGTCATTATCCCCCATGAAAAATTATCTGTTGCAGCAATTACTTCGTTCTGTTCGTTTTCGAAAGAATGTCGACCACAATAACAGATAATCCCATTACTATCTCTTCCCGTCAGACCCTGGCCGAGTATGACATTCATCACACTGGTGAAGATAGGGGAATAAAATGATATGATAGAACCGCTGAATACCTCAAATATACCAGAGAATGTCGATAATCCCTCGTTCTGGCCTCGAGATCAGTATCGAATACCAGACTATCGGCCTATAAATCGACATTTGATTGCCGCAGAGCGACCCAATGGAAGTAATGGCGCAGAGAGAGTTTTCATCACGTTGATGTTCACCGGAGTCTCATTGAATGCGGTAAGTCAGCATTTAAATGTACGTAATTCTTTTCCATCATATATACTTATATGGTATAAACGCTAAATATATAGGGAGCGGCCCAAGTATGGGGTATGACAGGAGGGAAAGTTTTTACACGAGTCTTTCGTTACGCTATCGGTGGAGAATGGTGATGGAATGACTAAGAGAATTGATCGATCTCGATGCTGCTAAGGTCATCGTGATGTAGAGTATATAATGGCGCACGCTTGGGGTGGACTCAGACATAGACGATGAGTTTTATGTATTGTTGTTAATTCTGTAAAGTTAGCAGAAGATGATCAGTGTTGTAGAGTTAAACCATCCACAGCTTTCCAGATGTCTAGCCAATTGTATACCCGTACTTTGTTGCTACCAGTACCCAGCAAAAATAAAGCATCAGATCCATGTAATAGCCAAATGCCGTTTTCTTCCATCAATGGTCATTGATGGAGTGATCTAACAAATCTCGATTATCTTGTAAGACCCATCCTACGCCAAGAAACATCCATATCCTCCGATAATTTGAGAAAGTCATCATTCTCTAAGTTTTTGATGATAAAATCGTTGATCAATTTATGCCGTTTGTCATCGGGAAGATCGTTGTAATTTGGCGGTAGATTTACCCGCGAGCCTGAACTGTATCTTGACATAACGAGATCCAAATCTCCTTGTAATACAAATGCTGTCGGTAGTCTCGACTGAAGGTCCACGACAGGAGCATTCGAAGCAGGTTTGGGAGCCGCTGTGTGGTCTCGACCTGAAAGAGTTTGAGTTTGAGTAGATCTATCCGCCATTTTTGGAGTTGGTACAGACTGCTGTCCAGCCTTGATTCCTTCTGTTTGCACTTTTGACGGCAGAGAATCTGATACGGTTGGTTTTGTAATGCTCCCAGCTTCAAGAAGAGGTGATTTTCCTGTCTGTATTGGAACGCCAAGGGTGTCACTTGCTAAACTGTCTTTTGACGAAAACGCTTCACTTGATGGGCCATTGATTTCTGGTAGATGCTTCGTACCCTTGCGACTTGCAACTCGTCTCTTTGCTGGCTTTCTAACAGGTGCAATACTCTCATTTGAAGGACCTTCTCTGATGAAATTTTCAAGCGGTCGCTTTCGCTGTTGTGGAGCTTGAACATGTCTACTGCTATCGGCTAGGGATACAGATTTGGATCTCAAAGAATCTTTCACAGTTGCAAATGGTAATTGTCGCTTTGGTGGTATGGGAAGGCCCAAGCAAATATCATTCTCGGTTGGAAGAGATATCGGGCGTTTTCCTGGTGCACCGAAGATCGGATACTCAGTCGAACAAGACAATGGACGATCTTCGCCTGGACTAAAAATTTCTAGCGCAGTTTGGTGTATTGAATTCCCTGAATTGTGTAGATCATTTACCGAAGAAAATGCAGTCAATCTATCGGGTAGGCAATGCTTCCTTTGTGTTTCGAAGAAAGGCGAGGTAGAAAACTGACGTTGGGATTCTTCTGGCTTTGGCAACAAAATTCGATTCATGTATGCATTACCATTTGCAGGCACTTTATCTGAGGTATTCATCACAGAGTTTAAGGATTGGCTTTGTTGTTGCTATCAAAAGATTAAAACCAAAATTAAATAAAATGAAAAGAACAGGACACACCTCTCGCTCGAACTGAGAAACATATAATAATTGTGCTCTATTGAGTGGCTCGGCAGATGGTTTAGACTGAGGCATATATGAAGATATTGAAATGGTAGATTGCGGTCTGATGTAGGAGTAATCGTCGGATTGGGAAGTATATGAGCTAATCGGTCTCTGAAGTATAGAACTAGCTGAGTCTGGCCGCATGGGAACTTTGAATTCGCTGTTTGGGGTTGAAGGAAGATAACCTACAGCTGGAGATTGCCCACTAAATTTTCCTGAAGATGTCGAGTCTGCAGTTGGTGGACGGAATTGCAAGCCAGGCCCTGATGGCAAACTTTCTGTTGCCGTCAAACCCAAGTTTGTCAAGATATTGAGAACATGATTGAAGTCTGAGTCGCCACGAAACCTGAATTGCAACCTACGAATCTAAAGAACTAATGTCAGCTGCTATGAAAGGGAAGAAAGGAACTTGCCGCGCTCTTAACTTACATCATTGAGCTTTGGGTAACGCAATGCGAGAAGCGGAGGTTTAATAACTACTCTCACTGGAATCTCGCTACCAGGAGATGAAACGAAGTTCTTGTAAACCATCACAATATCGTTTAAATTCTGTTCTTCCTTGAAAAGTGTTACAACAATGACAGCCTCGCACAGAGATTTATCACATACCAAATACTCAGCGCCTGCCACTACTTTCATCAATAAATGCTGTTCTTTCCCTGAACTACTAACTTGCACCTCTTGAATCACAAGTTCAAGATCACTTCTCGAGTAATGAGTCCATTGAGCACCTGCGGTATCACCTTGATTGGTTAAAGAGCATGAGAACTTGACAAGAGGGACGACGATGGTCGAATTGAGTTGCGATTGTGAGAAAGTGGGAGACTCTTGAGAGAAGAAACGAGACATCTCGAATTATGAAATTAAGGATACTGGAAGGAAAAATAAACCACAATGACTGCATAGATGATATATTGAAAAAAGAATGGAGAGACGAGAGATGAGAAAGAAAGAAAGAATAGAACAGGAGTAATATATAGAAAACCTTGTGATGATAAACACTGTGGAAGTCAGTAACGGGAATTTGTAAGTCTGAGATCAATGTTTGAATGATAGTAATGCTGACAATGACAATTTAGGATGGTACTCGTATCATTGTCGCTGTCCCTGTGTTAACTGAATCTATTAGGTTCCTTTCAAAAAGTTGTCCTTTTCAACTGGATTTCGTTCATGGAATTGAACTGAAGACAACTTGTTGTAAGGGAAGTTATGGAAGATTGTTCAAAGTTGGAGATAGCTTCATCAAATGTTAAGCTATGGCAACTATTATGCCACTAAGCTTCGGCCAAACGATGCACGGTCCTCCACCTAGCGTTCATATCAAATGGATTATTGAATACCTTAAATTTCGGGTATACCTACCTACATTTCTTGCCCAAAAATCAGTCCGGAGCTCACGACCTTTAACGACCGATCGCGTCGCCGTCGCAATTTCTACGCGTTAAGTTAATTGTCGCATCAAAAGAAGCTTTTCGGACAACCATTGGATCGCCATAAATATCGCATGGCAGGATACTACAATGGCGCCCCCAAGAGTTATTCACCACGATACCTCAATCGTTCATACTCCCGAATATGAGGATTTTATCGCAAAGCTTAGAGTCTATCATGAAAAGAGAGGCACGCATTTCGACCCTGAACCACGAGTTGGAACCAAGACAATCGACCTATTGCACCTTTACAATACTGTAATTGAGCGTGGTGGCTACGATAAAGTTAGCGACGAAAAACTTGCCTGGAGAAAGCTTGGTTCAGATTTCAACTTGGGAGCTAATAATTTACCTGCGCTGGCATTCAGTCTCAAAACAACATATTACAAATACCTCGCCGCATATGAAATCTCAACGTACCATGGTAAGGTACCACCTCCCCGAGAAATCCTGGAAGATACAACCGCTAAAGGAGGGGGACTTCTTTTCCGGACGATGGAGAATTTCAGACCCTCGATTCGTAGAGAAACTGGCATGCTTGGTACTGAGAATTCGGAGGCTTCTGGTGATGATGGTACACCTGTGCGCGATAGAAATGGAAGTGAAGAGACACCTGGATCTGGAGGCAGAATGACTCGAGGTCTACGACAAGCTCCTCCACAGCGGGTATTGTTTCAACCGGATACCCAACCATCTCGACAAGTTCGACAACATCCTTCCGCGACTTCCCATCCTCCACCAACTCCACAGCACCACTTACCTCAACACCAAACACCCTCTCACTCACATCAACATCATATGCCACGAGTTGGTGGTCCATTCTCCCATAACCCTTCCTCTGGTACCGAAAATATGTCGCTGGCGGTTACAAATTACGAACCTCGACTCCAGATGCCATTGACACTGCGACCTATAATTACACCTGGAAATAACCCCGTCGAGTTTGCGCGACGTCAGAAGGCATTGGAGGATGCAGCTGCGGCCGCAGAAGGTGCCAAAGCCAGCGCAATTCCAAGGGGGATGATGTTACCCGGCAGTAAGTTCTCTAATGTTTCCTCTGAGATAGTTATTCCGTCTCAAGAGTGGGTACTAATGATTCGCGAAGCTGGTTTTGATGGACCTAACATCTACGTTCGCTGCCTCTGTTCTTTGAGATCAGGCATCAAAGCTGAGCAAGATTACGCCCTACACCATCTGGTTAAAATCTCCATGGAACGTGGTGACAAATACAAATTCGAAGGATTTCCAGGTCTTGCCGAAGCTCTAATCGAGAAGATGCTCGAAGTCAGTTCATTATTTTACGATGTTCACTGGCAAATATCCTACACAGAAGATGGCGACATGATCTCTGCCACTGACACAATCAACGGTCTGGAAGGCACACCGGACATACTGGAAAGGATCAAACATTTAGCTAAGCTACCAGTTGATGATAACATTCAAACTGAAGAATTTAGTGATACTCTTCTTCAGATCAACGAGGCAGCATTAACAATGAGAAATATGGTCATGTTAGAGGAAAACGCCTTCTACGTATCTGAACTTGCACCTCTACGAGATTTTCTCACCATTGCCTTGAACCTCCCCAATTCAGACACCGTTGTAGAGTTAAAACACTACGCTTTAGATATTGCTGAACAGCTTACCAAGTATCTTCACTTTGAGGTTGGAGATCCCCTTTACCTTTCACTCCTCGCACAATTGGATTCACACGATCGAGGCGCTATCTTGACTGCCCTGAGAGCCATCAGCAGAATATCAATGAATCTGGAGGAGAACAACCTCCTTAAGGGTGTACCAGCATCCGCTGTACAAAACATTATTGATTGGACTTTATTAAATGACGAAGACCTTGCCCATGCTTGTTTGGATTTTCTCTATCAATACACAGCGGTTGTTGAGAATGTGGATTACCTTATCACAGAGGTGAAAGCAGAGCCATTGGTCAAACAGTTGACGCGACTTCTTATGCATGGCGCTCGCATCATAGAAAAAGAGTTTAACCTTGGAACTCAGTACAGAAAGCCTGCACCTTCAGAGATTGCGCCTATTCCACAAGATTTACTACTCGAAATTGCTAAGTTTGACGAGCCAGAGCGCAGTTCACGCTGGCTACGTTGCCTCTATGAGGAAGATCCTGATGAGTCCATCACACAAATTGCCTTGTGGCACGCCTATCAACAACAATTTAATTACTTGGCCACACAAACATCAAAACCACTTCTTCCTGCTGCAGATTTTATCAAGAATGTGAGCACAACCTTTGGCGACAAAGCGAATGCACAAGTTCAAAACGGTCCCGTAACAAAATTCATCATTAAAGGAATTCGATGCCGCAGTGAGCCAGTAGACCTACAGGGAGAGGCATACACCAAGTGCTTATGGCGCACTCATCTCGGAAAGCCCTGCGGAGAATTCTATATGACTCCTGAAGCAGGTTATCAACATATCCTCAAAACTCATTTTGGAGCCCAACTTAATGCCGACAACAAATACGTCAATTCAGCCTCAAATCAACAATATGTTTGTGCATGGGATACATGTTCTCGGTTCCGCTCCTCTCCTGCCACTAAGCTTTCGGAAGCCGCTACCCACATCAAAGTTCATCTCCCTCCTAAGCGTACCCCTGCTAGCGAACGTGAATCACAAGAACCTTCAGGTCCTCCACCAGCCAAGAAACACAAGCCATCATACATTGTCCAGCCACCTCGTATAAGCTTCAAATACCATTTCACAGCTGTCGATGAGCATAATGATGCAGCAGGTATTCCACTCAGTGCAGTACTCGTTCTCCGAAACTTGGCAAGGAATGTCAGTAAGACTGAAGCAGAGGAGGCGGCTCTCAAGGAGGGTGAAGTGTCTTGGGTTGATCGGTTGTTTAAGCCCGTGGAACCGAGATTATTTGCTATCTATGCGCATAACAAGATTTTGGTACGCTACTTTCTTCTTTTATTTCCAAACCCTCTTCTCAGTTCAAAAATTCCCTTGTCTAGCAACTCTCACATGATTATCACAACAAATTCACATAACTTTCGTTCATCCGTATTGACCGCAAGGTCGTGGGGAGACAGTTTATATCTTTATGACTTATAGTGTTGAATACTCAACTTCATCTTTTTCTCAATGATCAATTCTTGTCATTTTCACTAATTCGATTAAATTCAAACAGGCAACTTATATGACAGATCTTCTCGTCGCAATCAAGGATACGCAAGGTTGAAAGGGGCTTCGATCTGGGAAACGGAGTGAAGGGGTGGTATTTCGGGATACTTGCGAACAATTAGGAAAACCATGCATATGATATGTTCAATGATCTACTGATAAGGTAGCGGGCGCAAAAATTTCAGTACGGCGGCTGGGCGTTCTATGGATGGTCTCATTTGATGGAGAAATTTAATTATGAGGTGTATGATAGATGCCTTCCTTTCCTGCTTTAAAATACCTCTTCGGCTGGTGGGTGCTGGTTGGGCGTGGGAATAAGAGGAAAGTGGAAAATTGTGAGATTTTTACCTACCTATCTAGGACTTATGTATTCTGTGCTAATCTTCTTGAATGATTCTTATGGAATAGTGAATGAAATTGGACGATATAGTGTGCTATGTGAAGTTCAAGCGACTGGGTATTTGAATATTCTATGTATCTATCCTGAACGAAGTCGACACGGATATAAAAGTGTCTTGAAGCATTTGGCTGCTGGCTTAACTTGATGTCTACTTCTGCTAATTGAATGTTTCATGATTTGACACACGATGTCTATTCGTAATATACTCCAAACTATTCGTTCTTTTCTTTTCCTGTTTTGTTTTGTAGAAAAGGAAACGAGCTTATATTCTCTCTCTTCTCTCTCTTCTCTCTCTTTTATGCCCAATTATTTTATCAATAATAATAATACTTTCAAAAGCCTTCTCAATATGACTAAAGTTCCATGGATTTGATCCCCATTTCCTTTCTTGATATCTTTACATTTGCTTTTGCTTTTTTATATGAAATATCGTATCTGGTGTACAATTCAGCCCAGCAGTCGAAAGCTCGAAGACAGACAACCCTGTGATAAAATTAAAGGGATGATGTTGATGAATACTTAGATACTTGATACACATCAATTTATCTTTAGACATTACTGATAAATACACATCCTCATCTGAACACCAAGTCGAATCTTCTTCTCCTAGTCAGAAATCAAATTCGATGTCAGGATATATCCTAGGTACTTAGATAGGATGGAGGATATGAGATATTATTCCTCGATGAATGATATGAGATAATATCCGACATCTCAAGATATACATTTCTTATATTCCTCCTCCTCTTTAGTAGACAAAGCGATACCCATCTTTAGCTTTTTCACAACCTATTACTCAATTACCAGGAATATCATCGCATCTCTGGATGCGGACCAGAGATGCGGACTTTGTGCTT